AGTACCAATGGAGTCACATCTTGTGGGAATACTGGTATATGAAAAGACTGTAAGATGGGGAATATAACTTTTCTCTATATAGATTAGCTGCTTTGTAGAAAGATTCAGAATGTACTAGTATAAAAGAGAGGTTGGATGCTCGGTGCACTGCCGATAGCAGGAGACCAGAGCTCCCAGAGGGAGAAGTTGTGTATAAGGTGACAGTCACCCCTTCCCATTCCTTTGGGGTAAATTTCGGACACTGTAATCTAGGTATGTATCTCACAAGCTTTAAAACTAAATTGATTTAAAATGGCAGGACCAGTAAGGCTGTACCAGTCTACTTCAATTTTATGTAGACTAACACTAGTACGTGCCTATTGGCCAACTTTGGCATGAGAATGAGGAGTATTAGAAATATGGCAAAAAATTTAAAAAGTGAGGGAAATAAATTTGAAAAGAAATCTGAATGTGAGAAATACAGCTATAGTTTCTTTATATCAATAATTATGAGTACTATAAAAAATGTAGAAAGTCCACATGGTAGAATACATCTTCAGTCCCACCGTTATAATGTCAAATTACTTATGAACTCATTACTCATTTTGTGTTTTGTGTTTACTCATCAAAGAAGTCAAAATTTACTTTCAGTGCTTACTGTAAAGCTTTATAAACTGCAGGTGGGGGGTAAGCAAAATACTGTCAATGACTGATATTCCTAATTTAAGAACAAATAAAATGGTTTATTTCCTTCATTTCTCTAAATCTTTGTGAGCCAAAAGAAATATTAAACATTAAATCTGTAACAAAATGTTGGAAAATTTTCTCTATGTAAGACATATCATTTGCTCTGTATTATAAATAACTAAATAAATGAATGGGCTCCATTCTCTGGTATTTTGGGAATAAAGCCAAGGCACTTATTATATTTTTCTGTAATATTTTCAAATAACAAAAAATAATTTTTTAAAATTTTATTCTTGAGAGAGAGACAGAGCATGAGCAGAAAAGAGGCAGAGAGAGAGAGAGAGAGAGAGAGGGAGACACAGAAGCTGAAGCAGGCTCCAGGATCTCACCTGTCGGTACAGAGCCTGACACGGGGCTCTATTTACAAATTGCAAGATCATGACCTGAGCCGAAGTCAGATTTTCAACCAACAGAGCTACCCAGGTGTCCCCAAAAAATAATTATTAAAATCACAGAAATTAACATTCTGGATTGTGATAATACAAAAGCAAACCTAGATTTCTTCCCTTTAAATGTCCCATGAAATGCCATCAAGTATATTCTTCAAAGTGTGTTTTATGATATATTAAACACGGATACTCTAAATAAAAGGATTCATGGTCAAATACTTCTGAGAAACATTGTATCATATCCTACCTACCTAGAAAATATATAGCAGCACATCAATGATTCTAAGAGTACTATGGTAAAGACAAAGAAACAAAACTTGTATAGCTATTTAAACCCAGAATTTCTCAATTTATTTGATCACTGTTTTTTTCATTTCTCTCTCTCTCAAAATAAATAAACATTAAAAAGAAAAAGGCAAGTATTTAGCAAAAGAAATTATACTTTTGATATTGTGCTCTAAAAATTAGATAAATATCAAAATTGTTTTCAATGCCTTTACTTCAAACAGCATACAATTAAAAACTCAAGAGGCATGGCATTATCCACAAGGGCATAGAAACATTTAAGAATGCTTGTGTTGATGGACAACCTTACATTTAGAAACATAGTGAAATAAATTCTCTGTTTGTATTTCAGTTTGTTATCCCGCCCTGTTCCAGTGTTTATGGTATAACTGACACACCACAGTAATCATATGCTATATATTAAGGTTTTAGGAGGTTAAATATGAAATTGTACTAAGAAGTACTTAATATAGAATGTAATCAGAACTAGTAAGTTGAGCATTTTTATTTTTAGTGAATAAACAAAATAGTTTAATAATTTCTCTAAGGCTACATGCATATGGAATTATAAAGGTTTTTATTTTATATATTATCCAAAGTTCTTCAGTAACAATGGATTTTTTTTAATGCTTATTTATTTTTGAGAGAGAGTAAGAGGGGAAGGACAGAAAGAGAGGGAGGCAGAGAATCCACAGCAGGCTCTGCTAGGTCAGCATGGAGCCCGACACGGGGCTGAAACTCACAAATCGTGAGATCATGACCTGAGCGGAAAGCAAGAGTCAGACACTTAACCAACTGAGCCACCCAGGGGCCCCTAACAACTGATTTTTTTTAATCTATTCAAAGCACAGATAACTAGGAAGAACTATTAAAAGATATACCTAGCACATTTTTTATTATTCCAATATAATCTGATTATATTGTTCTTATGAAGCAGGAAGAAAATATGATGTCTTCATTCTGGTATAATCTCATAGGCTTATCAAACACAACCACAGGTTGTAGGGACTTTTATGTTTAGAAATAATCATAAAAGAATCGTTAGTCCTCAGTTACTTTCTATAAAATGAATAGATGATGTATAAGATTCCATTTATGACAAAGTTCTATCTTCTGAGCTTGGACATAAGGGTATGAATATAAATATGAGTACAATTTAGGTTGAGATTCCCCACACTGTTTATAACTTGAATATATAATATTTATTTTAAAAAATATAAGTTACACAGAACTTTCTTAAAAGGATTCGTTGGCTGAGCGTCCAACTTCAGCTCAGGTCATGATCTTATGGTTTGTGAGTTCAAGCCCCACCACAGGCTCTCTGCTGTCAGTGAGGAGCCCACTCTGAATCCTCAGTTCCTCTCTCCCCTACCTCCTGCACACGCGCACGTGCACTCTCCCTGTCTCAGAAACAAATAAACATGGAAAAAAAAGCTGATTCTGATAGTGTTGCCCGATTATCCAATAGCCCAGGAGATCTAAAAAGTTTCTCTAGAAAAGAAAAACCTTGAAATGTCGCTCAAAGAGAAGCACATTATACTATAAAATTATGGAGAAGCCTCCATGAACTTATGGGGTATCAGGGTGAGTATAAGTACCTGCCATGACATCAAAAGAAGGCCCCTGCATCACACAGCTCCAGGGGGCGTTCCTCACAAAGCATCTATATAAATGCTCGCTCTGGAGCTGTGCTCTGTGATGAGGCTGAATCAGGGGGCCAAGTGTCAGTTTCTACTGTCTGTTACTTGTGTGACTTCAGGGAAGTTATTTAATCTCTCTATAGCTTAAACTTCTCACTGTTAAGTAAAGGTAATTCTAAGGACATACAAGATAATCCTGTGAGTAGATTATGTGTTAGGGCTGCAAGTAACTATGACGAGAACTCTTTTTTTTTAATGTTTTTATTTTTGGGGGAGAGGGAGACAGAGCGCTAGTGCAGGAGGGGCAGAGAGAGAGGGAGACACAGAATCTGAAACGGGCTCCAGGCTCTGAGCTGTCAGCACGGAGCCTGATGCAGGGCCCAAACTCACGAACTGTGAGATCATGACCCGAGCCGAAGTCAGATGCATAACCGACTGAGCCACCCAGGTGCCCCGAGAACTTTTTTTTTATTTTGCTATACATTTAACCATCATCTCAAAAATTATCTCCCTTGCCTATTATTTCACAAACATCTACTGAATGCCTTCTCTATGCCAGGCAGTATACTAGGTATTAAGATTACAGATGTAGACAAGAGATCTAAAATTCTGGCTCTCATGAAGCTTATGGTTTAGCTGTACAGGGAAACATGTAATAAAAAATCTAAGATGTGTCAAGCAGAAAGAAGTTATATGAAGATAAATGAAGTAGCTTAAGGGGATAGAGAATGTCAGGTTCTGTGTACGTAGGGAGGGGGTACCTATTTTAGATGGGCTGGTGAGGAAAGTCTGCTTTGATAAAGTAATAACTGGAGCACAGACCTGAATGTGGTGAGGGAGTCTTGTGACTATCTGTGGAATGTGTTCCGGGGCTGGGAACTGGCAGTACCAGGGCCCCAAAGCATGCCTGGCATGTTCCAGAAGTGCAAGGAGGCCAGGGTGGCTGGAGATCAATATGCATGCACAGAGGAGCCCACTTGGGACCCTGTCTCTGCCCCTACTACACCAGGATGGGGGCACATCATGGAGGGCCCTGAAGGCCACAGTAGGATTTGAAATTCTCTCCTGGATAAGGAGGAAAGTAAACAAGGGGTTCTGGTCGGAGGAGTGGAATGATCTGATTTACATTTTTACTTTATTTAAAAAAATTTTTTTTAAGTTTATTTATTTTGAGAGACACAGAGACAGCGCGAGTTGGGAGGGGCAGAGAGAGGGAGAGAGAATCCCAGGTAGGCTCTGCACTGTGCAGAGCCTGATGCAGGGCTCAAACTCACAAATGGTGAGATCATGACCTGAGCAGAAACCGAGTCAGATGCTTAACCGACTGAACCACCGAGATGCCCCTGATTTACGTTTTTAAACACCACACTAGCTGCACTGTGGAGAATAAGCCTAGAGTGTGTGGGAGCAGACAAACTGTAAGTAAACATAACAGTTGTTCTAAACTGGGGTACATCCTTATAATTTAAGTAACTTTTCCAAACCTATCCCAAGATTTACTCCAAGTCAAAGTAACTTGACAACGAGGAGGTCTATTCATTTAAGCCAAAGAAATAAGACATAATAAAGTAAAAAGCACTGTATAAATGAAAGGTTGATTACTAATTATTAACACTGTTCTACTTGGCTTTTGATATTCATATATTATCATCAACGAGGTACAATTTGGTTTGCTGAGTCCCTTGGCCCCAGATGGGGAATTTTTTTATCCAAAAAAAAAAAAAGAAAAAAAAAGCTATTGAGTACATAATGTTAAAATAAAAAAGAAAAATTGTCACTTGAAATAACTTTTGAGGGTAAAAGCTTATGGCTCTGGTCTTAGCACAGCACGGGAGATTCAGAACAAATGGTTTAAAATCCCAGTGTAAAGTTTTTATGACTGTTGAACTAGAATTAATACTTTACTGAAAAGATCTGCAAAATATTTGACACAGCGGCCACGGACTATGAATAAGCTCACCTATAAATGGGATCGATGCCAAGGAGTCCCCAGGTGGGCTGGTACTTGAAGCCTTCCTTTCCTCCATTCTTTTTATATGGACCTCTCGGCGCGCGTCATTAGGTAGCCAACAGGTAGTGTCTGACCCTGTCTCCTGGTCATTTACTGCCAAGATGTAAGACTGATGCCTTAAAGGCTGTGGTGTTTGGCGACCAGACGGAGGTTTTTCTCTTAGAATGACGGTTTCTTTATTATCTAAAGTATTCGATTCCTGCATTTCGGCCTCTCGTAAATTTAAATCTTGATTTCTTTGAGGGACAGATAATTCTAAATCTGAAGTGCCGGAGTTCTCGATCATCTGAGGGACAGGCTTAACAGAAGCTCCAGGTAAAGATGGGGGTTTCCCCGTCTCCACCTGGTGATCAGGGGCATTTTCCGTTCTTAGCCATGTCTGCTGATTCAATAGACTGTTTTGATGCAAGTGATTTACTGGTCTTTGGTCTTTGGCAGAAACAAGTGAGTTCTGGCTAAATGATGGTTTTGTGACGTGTGTGGAAGGCGCTTTCAGAGAATTACTTCGGACTTTCACAAGAGGTGACCTGTCTTGTGAAATACCTCGAGGCAATGACATTCCACAGGTAGTCTGAAAATTTCTGTTGGACTGCAGTGTTTTTAGATCTGTTGGCCCTTTTTTAAACTGAGACCCAGACCCCACTCCTCTGCCAGTCATTCGCCGGTTATCAGAATTAACAGTGCTCGGGGCCACGGTAAAATTTGAACCTCGAAAAGGCTTATGAATTTCCTGCTGTCGAGGTCTTTCATAAATACCTCGTCTATCATCCTGCTCGGTAAATCCACTCCACTTGTAAGTTTGTTTTCGTTCTCCATTTGAATCGGGTATTTGGCCTTCAGAATTGACGTTTTCTAAGGTTTCACCCTGTCCCTCGATGTAATCCCATGAACGAGTTCTATGATTACTGAAACTAACAGACGGAGATGTCAGTGCTCCTTGGGACGCACTTCGTGGGCAATACTTCATCAACACAGAATCCTCCAGCCTCTCCTGGGACACGCTGCGCTGTCGGATCTGAACAGACTGCGGCACTCGATCGTGAGAGGTGCTTCGACGTCGTACCTGCAAAGTAGTGCGGTTTGGTACCACCTGGTTATAATCCATTGTGCTCTGAGATGCTGCTCTTAAACTATCCAGTCTTTCTTGAATCGTCCGACAGCCTATGTGCGATCGTCTGTTATCAATATACTCTTTGTACGTTTTATAGTTTTTCCAGTCTATGTGCTGATGGGAATTTGGAGAATAGTGATTAACAGGGACAGAAGGAGAATCCACAGCTTGAGGTCTACTGCTCGAGATTCCTTCCGAATGTCCACTGTAATTGCCGGATTTAAGTAAGATTCCAGAAGGTTCCAACGATCTGGAGCCTGTTGTCTGATGAATCAGATGGGCAGTGGGAATGGATGACGGTGGCGACGTGGTTCTTGACACTGTTTTCAAAGCGGTCTGCTCATTTATGCCATACCTCACCTCTTCAGTTCTATGTGAAGGAACTGTATGGTTGTTTCTATTAGTTAACAAATCTACAACCTTCTCAGAAGGTACAATGACAGTCCTTACGCTTTCATTGCAAACACACACTGCCGTGTTGGACTTTGCAACATCTGTTGGCGACGGAGGCACTTGTATTTCCATTCTATAGGCCCTGCCAGGCTGTGTCAGGACTGGTGTGGTGGTTTGCGGTTTGCTCGACGATGAATCTAGAGGAGAGATTTCAACTGGCTGTGCCATGGCTGAAGGGGCAGATGGCAGCCAGGGATAGCAAATTGGTGGGGGTTCAGGTATATTGCGGGCATTTCCGCTGTAGGCTTCGTTGCCTTTCAGGTAGGCATCTTGAGAGTACGCCTACATGGAAACGAGAAAAAAGCGTCATTTAAAATTCACAGAAGGCACAACAGCTTCCGCTTTTGCAGTGCACTATTTGATTTTACTGTGCCCTGCCTTCTTCTGAAGTGACAGTCACTGAAGCAAGCATGCAAGCACAACGTAAGGATGCTCCACAGATTTAGAAAAGGGCTAGTCTTTCAGAAATCATATGGTCTGTAGCATCTGCAACAAATATAAATGACAACTGCCTGTTTTCTTGAAAGACTGAAACACACCAATTTTCTCCCTCACCAATTAGATAGAGCCTTGTTGCTTCTAAAATTTTCCCCAGTCCAGTTTGATGGTCTTTCAGCATCGGACAGGTTAAATGGCTGCCTGACACATCTCAGCAACATTCTGATCATTTTGCCAGAGAACATTTTGATCTTTTGCCAGAGTGAGGTGAAAATATTAAAAATCTTAGCCAAGTGCCTTTTTTATTTTAAGCACCACTGCTAGCATAAATTAAATGTAACATATTGGGCAGTGTCTTGTCCATTAATGATTACTGAGTCCTTAAAAAGAATCTATTTGGATAAATTAAGTCCTAAGCTATGCTAAATATTTTACTATTTAAAATCAGAGAAAATAGGCAGGCTTAAATTAAGCATGTATATTAAAGACCCCAAGTAGGAAAAAGTAATTCATCGTTCTGTATATATTTTTTATTTTTTACTTTAAGCAAATGCAAAATTATATGGCACGAATTTATTTGGTCTCTTTTACTTACTATAAGGAGACATTTCTCTATCACTAACAGGCAGGCATGCAGCTCAAGTTATTTTTTATCCATTAATGGTGAAATTATCTAGCAGTATATTTTAAAACTTCAAAATAACTGAAATTAAGGACAGAGATGCAATAAAACAGGACTAATTGATGCAACTGAATACTGTGCCGGTATCTGAGACCATGAGATGTGGTATCATGTTACACATCCTCCCCGAATCAAAACAAGCTTAATTCATGTCGATCATCACATCCTGCCCTTGCATCAGACAGCTTGCCAAGCCCAAGTGCGGCCACAAACACAACAGCAAAGTACCAAGGAAACAGAGAAGGGGAGATACTTAAAAAAAAAAAAAATACACATACAGGTAAATGTTATGTTTTAATACCAGTTATGCATAAGATTCAAAAGAAAACCAAACATAAAAACAAAAAAAGAAAAGAAAGAAAACCATACATCACAAACATGTTCTGCAAATTAGTAAGATTAAAATTATGGAGGGGTTTCTCTAAGCAAACTTACAGTTTTAATAGGTTGGCTTATTACAAATCTCTATAAAACAGAACTTAAAAAGCAAGGCAATGGCTTCTGTGCGTTTCTTACCAGAGCTGTGACATCCTTTGTAAACTGTAGCTAGCAGAAAATAGGAAAACATAGTAGAAGCTGCTTACTGATATCAAGACAGAATCATGTTGTCATACTGATGCTGGTAACAGCAAGCTAAAAATACATCTATACTGATTTCTCTGGAAGGTACCAAGAGAAGTAAAGGGCAGTGAAGCGTAAAGAATAACTTCAGTATCCTTCTGAGCGTCTTTTTCTCAGGCTTTTATCTGGTTCTTATTTGATTCGTCTACTATTTCTGAGGGCAAAATGCGTCTGGTGACAAGCATCCCTAACAGGTATTTTCTTCGATCTGCACTGCTGTCTGCTAACGTGCCACAAAGCTTCCCTTCCGCGACAGCGACAGTGATGCCTCTCATTTCCCCCGAGCCGCTTCCAGCTCTGCTTCCAGATGACGAAGCGAATGCTCTATTATGCATTTAAAATAGTACAACCTCCTCCTTCCCCTGTAAATCAGAGCACGACCACAAGCTGTCAGCTGATAGTGGCTGTCTTTACATGGTGACTTGGTGAGAAAGAATGACTGTTTTATTAAATATGGTTTGCTCAGAAATTAAGATCTTTCCACACTGTACCTTGTGTCCTGTTTTACTAGCGTAAGAAAATAATTCCTGGATAGACATAAAAATATTACTTCCAGAGTAATTCTTTAAAACTTATAATGGATATTATAGAATGTAAACCAGAATGTGGTGAAAAAGCTAAGCGAGCAGATCAAAGGGAACACGCATGCCATAATGTTTTTAAGGCATGAATACAGTCAATCAAAATATAGATGGTCACATGCCCATAACAAGACTATCTTTTTGATGCTGATTATATTCACACCAATATTTTTTCCATGGCAGGAAAATTGCGTCTGGATGAGTGAACAGTCTGGTACAGTAATTCCCACAGTGTGTTTGTACAATTTTATTAAGCATCACCTAAAAGAGGGGGGCGGAGAGTATACTCCATGCTTAGTGATGTAATGAAGGCTTCACTGGTAGACTTCCTGCCTGCTAAAAACCTCTCCTACATGAATGTGCATTATTAAACTCAAGGGGAAATGACAAGCTTATTTGGCCATCATACCCATATTTTTTGAAGGTCTTTAAAAAAAATTTTTTTTAATGTTTATTTTTGAGAGAGAGAGAGAGTACGCAAACCGGAGAGGAACAGAGAGAGAGGGAGACAAAGAATCTGAAGCAGCTCCAGGCTCCGAGCTGTCAGCACAGAGCCCGACGTGGGGCTCGAACCCACGAGAGCTGCGAGACCATGACCTGAGTTGAAGTTGAACGCTTAACTGACTGAGCCACCCAGACACCCCTGAAGGGGTTTTAATACAACTAGAATTTCTGCTGGAACTAATGATTTAGAGATACCTCCTTTATTCAAATTTTGGAGAGGAATATTATCTTAATAATAAAAGTATAAGACAGGAACTATTAAAAACTTGAAAAAATATTTGATATACTTCAACCATCTCTAAGAGCCCAAATCACAACTCTAAATACTAAATAGGCTATATTCATGGGTTCCCACTTCTGGGTAAAGGTATGGCAAAGTGTGCCCTCACATACGTATATAAGGACCATGGGTTAACAGTGGACTAACTAAATAGCACATCCTACACAGATATATAAGCAGATATAATTGAGATGAATAAAATATGAACTCATTCAAGAGCATTACTGAATTTCCTTACATATTCTTACAGTTTGTGTACACTAAAACAGCTTGTTTATCTGTCTCTTCCAAAGTTCCTCATTCTCATAAAGTTTGGGTGCCACTGCCATTCGATTAAGATCCATGGGGAAATCAGCAGTGCCCTAAGACCATTGCGGCTTTGTATGTGTCTAGATAGGTCAGGGACATACTTGGGAATTATTCTATGGGAAAACATGTCTGTGGCTATTCTCAGGGGTATGCTACAGACATAAATTAGCACCAGAATAAGTTTAGGGAAGTAAATTAGGAATAGACAATATGCATTGTAAAGAATCCTCTTCTCCCATGATTGCTTTTAAGTATTCCTCTGGAAAACAAGCTGCCTACTAAGGACCACTTTATACTCCTTCAAGGAGGAAAGTATTAATCAGGGGCTGAGCAAACGGTGGGCGAATCATCTGGGATAGGTTACAATATGCAGCTTTTTGAGGTTTTACCCACTGATGAGGTTTTACCTTCTGGGAACAGAACCGAAAACTCTATAACCTGCTCACGGCTGTGAGACTGCGGGATACTTTTTCTCGAGTGTTGAGTGGAAAAGCACCAACTCTTCCACTGAGACATCATGATCTGACATATCGGTGTTGTAACTACATAAATTCCTACATATTGGGAATCTTTGAATTGTCAGCGGGAGCCAATTAAATAGTCCAGATATCATGTAAACAAAGTAATTCATATGCGACGATGCCAATTTATGTTCTTTTATAATAATGTCACCATCATGTGTATTAAGAAGTTTGTCTGAAATGGGATGGCCCAGATATTTTTGAAATCAATGTCATAAGAACTGCATATTTGGCTCTTATTAATTTTTATTTTTACATCTGCTGTAAGCCCAAATGGATACCTTACAACATATGCAGATATTTGGATGGAATTAGAAAACACTTAAATTTTCCTCAATTGAACTCAACAGGCTATGACAAAAAAAATTCTAGCCCATTTTTTGCATTAGGCCATTTTATATACCATTCAATATTCTTCCTTGAATTTCCTTTACCTAGTAGTTAATTTTTATATCTTATAGTAGTTTAGCAGTTTAAAAGCTTATCTTTTAAAAATAAAAATCATACCAAATGAAAACAGAGTAGCAGCAGAAAACAGATCTGCCTACAGATCCAAAAGGTTCCTTAAAAAGAGGGGTTGGGGGTGAGGAATGTAAGGAAAGAAAAATGACCCACAGAATTCCTCATCTGGAATCAGAATTGTAAACAGCATATTAAATAAAATTTAACAGTCTGAATCTTGATTATATGTATAGAATCTAATAGTAACTAATCCTAAAATAATCTTCCAGTTCAGTTTTAATAGAGTTGCATCAAAATCACTATTAGCATACCTATTACTATTATAATACTATTACTATTCCATATTTATTGTTTAATAAGTGGTTAAAAAACAAACAAACAAGAAAACCTTGCAGAATAACTAAGTTGGTAAGATTGAAATTCCTGCCTACCATTTCACCTTAACAGGCTGGCCTATGAATTTAATACTATTACCTATGATAAAATAAAAAATAATTATATGTCTGTCTGTATAATGAAATACATGCCAAACACAGCAAGGTGGGGTGTGGGAGAAGGGTGGTGTGGAAACTTTAGATCTTTCTAAATTATTAGTGACTTTTATAACAAGCATGTTCAGATTATAAATATTTAAAAGTGGATTTTAAAACAGAATAAAGTAAATGCAAACTTGCAAAAGAGCAAAGAACCTTCCAGAATTCCTACTCTTGCTTCCCTACTCCAGGCAGGACCACCTTGATGCACACTTGACAAATGGTTACCTCATTTTAAATACAATATTATACTGATTACGGAACATACTAAATAATTAATTTGGAAGTAATTCTGATAAATCTGAAGACAAACTTTGGTTAAACTACACTCTCTAATTTATATGGCGCTTTCACAGAGTAGCGGATAGAGCACTGAACTCAAAGTCCAGACATGAGTGAGAACAACAGCTCCGACACTAACCGTGTGACCCTCCGGAGCCACTTAACTCCTCATCTGCATCTGCTAGCAGTAAAGGGCTGTGGTTTAGGTTAAAGAACAGGTTTTGGTCTCAGACCTGCCTGGGCTCAAGTCCTAGCACCGCTGCTTTCTTCCCTGGCGGCTACAAAAGCTGTTTAACCTTGCTGTGTTTATTAACACACGACGGCACAAAGCAGGCTCACAGCGCCCTGGTCAAACACTAGACACACCCACAAATCTCCACAGCTATCAGGACTGATCACCGTGAAATTTAATTTTGAGTCCAGTAAGCCAGATGCTTAACAAAATCTCATGATGCATCCACTGACAAGAAGGGTCGGGTCTAGATCTCTGGTCATGAGCCCATTCGAGAAAGTGTTCTCTTCAGTCAGCACCCCTTTTTGGTGACTTGATGCTACTTCGTTCATGCATAGCCAACATTTGGGAGGGTAATGAAACAACCAATTAGGCTTTGTTTCTGTTTTTTTGTTTTGTTTTGTTTTTTTGTTTTTTTGAAAATGGAAGAGAGTTTTTTATGTTGTAATAATACCTTAAAAACATAAAGCTGTCTAAAATATCACAGCCTAAAATACCGTTATTAAATACATCAGCCGGTTAAACATCTGACTTTGGCTCAGGTCACGATCTCACCACTTGTGGGTTCGAGCCCCATGTCAGGCTCTGTGCTGACAGCTCAGAGCCTGAAGCCTGCTTCCGATTCTGGGTCTCCCTCTCTCTCTCTGCCCCTCCCTAAATCACACTTTATCTCTCTCTCAAAAATGAATAAACGGTAAAAAAAATTTTTAATATGTCAAAAATGACTAAAATGAATGTAATACTATTCATATTGCTAATCTAGAAAATAGGCGTTGGTTTAGAAAATAAGCGTGCTGAGTACAGGAGCACTATTATGGGCACTGGTAGTGAACACAATGAATTCTTCTTAATTTTATTTCATGTTTTCCAATATGACAGGACTAGTCATCTGTAATTATGAAATTTATTACTATATACCTATCCTTCCATGAGTAGAATTTTAAACTAAATTAAATTTTCTATGCCAAGATGAGCTGAGCCCCTCTAGAACAATTTGGTCCATCGATCACTTTAAGAAAAGAAAATTCCACGAATGCACAACCCTGCTGTCGCCCAGGCAAACACATACAAACTATGAGAAGCTTTCACTTGGGCAAGCAATTTCTACAACAGTTGTAAAAATGTTCATGTTTACTTTTTTAAAAAAATTTTTTTAATGTTTTTATTTATTTCTGAAAGAGAGAGAGAGAGAGACACAGTGTGAGCAGGAGAGGGTCAGAGAGAGAGGGAGACACAAAATCTAAAGCAGGCTCCAGGCTCTGAGCTGGCTGTCAGCACAGAGCCCGATGCAGGGCTTGAACCCATGAACCGTGAGATCATGACCTGAGCCGAAGTCGGATGTTTAACCGACTGAGCCACCCAGGCACCCCCCCCGGCTTTTTTTTTTTTTTACAATGAATATTCAACCCCCCAGGGACAAATATGTCTTTAAAAGCATATACTTTGGGTAACAGACTTAAGACCAAGATAAATACTTAAGACCCTTACAAACCATTTTAACTCTAGAATCTGTAAGAAGAATTTCTACATAGCTTTTTTTTAAATCCCGGATTCTCTTTGTGTTTTATAATAGCTTTAAAAAATGGCACTCATAGCTATCACAGCTAAAAACATTTATGCAGAGAAGAAGGTACCGCGTTCTACAGTCCTTTAGAGAACAACGCATAGTAGGCATTAATCATATACATGCCTTTGATTTTCTCATGAATTATAGTACATTCAAATGTGAGTGAAGGCTGAGTTTAAAAGTGAGGTTTCCTTTTATCATTCAGGGCATGTGCTTTTAATTTCGTAAGATTAAAATAATTCAAATACCATCTTTAAAAGTGAATTTTGTTACAACTTTACCAGAATGCTTTACAAATGAACTCTGAAGATCTGTGTGTTCTTGCCACTCAAGTGAACCAACTTTTCCCCGTGCATGCAATGATTTGTTTTAAATAGATATATCTTAAAGAAAATACAACATAACAGACGAAGTAACCTAATTTTTCACTGATCCTGAAATTAGAAAATGATTCCCTCCACGGCTGCCACTTCCACATTGCTCTCTTCAGCAAGCACACAGCAGGATGTGATGGTAATTCTGTGCTCGATTCCTGTCCTAGGAATTCAGCATGATGCCGGCCGTTCTAAGCAGCATCCACCCAGTGCCTTCCCCTTGGCAAGGAAAGAGTCCACTGAAGATGAGAACACAGCTCTGATTTGGAAATGCATTCTGTCTTTGAGCCATCACGTTGCCACTGAGGATTCGAGGGGAGGCCCCCTCTACATCGTGCCTCAGCTCCCAGTCCTTTGTGTAAGATGAACATCAGCCTCGAGTCCCTCACTTATTTCTAATCTGGTGCCCCCCCGGCTGCCTTCACGGGTTGTGTCTGCTGCTCTCTTACTCTGCTGAATTCTCAGGGTGGGTGCTCCACAGCTAGCTCTGTATGCCTAGGACAACCACCCTGGACGGCTGTACCTTCCTCGTTGAGGCATCTCAACACCAGAAGAATTACTTACTTAAGAAGGGTAATCTGTTATCCCTAAAAAGCCATTCCTAAACACAAGGTGGGTCTCCATGGATTTTAGTTGGTTATACTTTACATGTCAGTGGATAAATGGAATCATTAGGATCAGCTTTAATCACATTTCTGTAAAAAAAAAAAAACATTTAAGGGCACCTGGGTGGCTCGGTGGATTAAGGGTCCAACTCTTGATTTTGCCTTAGGTCATGACCTTATGGTGGTGAGGTTGAGTCTCGTGTCAGGCTCTGTGCTGAGTGCGGAGCCTGCTTCAGGTTTTCTCTCCCTCTCCCTCTGCCCCGCCCTTGCTCTCTCCCTCTCTCTCTTTTAAAGAAAAAAAATGTTTACAGAAGATTTTAAGACTTATGGTAAACTAAATTCAAACCAATGCCGCATAAATGAAAAACACGACTTTACCCTTTCCATTCCCATCACAAAGATTCCATGTTGTACTTTAATAATAATAAAAAAAAACTAATTATTTGCTAAAAGGAATTAAAAAAATACAAACTTCAGTGGCCACTGCCATTCCTTAGAGGGAGCAGTCAGCTTTCAGAGTGTTACTTCAAAGCTTTTCCTGATGCTGTTTTATTCTACTGAGCTACAAAGTCATTGGAGGATGTATTTTCTTGAATGAAATTTCTATATCTTTATAAATTTATATATCTTTTACTTCTTTTTACTTTCAGCAAAATCTAAGCTCTTTACTTTCAGCAAAATTTAAACTCTATAAAATAGTTAGGGATTTTATTCAATTTATTTTCTTTCTGAAAATGAGGGAAAATTTAGGCTAAATGCTGAAGACTTCAATATAGTATAATTTCCTCTTGAAGACCCTAACATTTTTCCCTCAAGGGGTAGGCTCCATTGCAAACTTTCCTTCTAATAGAATGAATTGAACTGTTCCAACACTGCTTGGTAGGTTAATTTACAGTCATACATCTTGAAAAATTAAGAAACCGCTTTCACAAAATCTCTTTTCTAACAAGAAAAAAAATTCTAATTCCTGGGGATATATACTGTGCCCCAAAGTTTGACTTCTGGTCAAAGGACTACCTAGGCTGCAACATCAGGGATTGGAATCTCCTTCCAGATGGCAATGACAAAAATTCACTATCGAAATGAATAAAACATTCTTATGTCACTTAACTGTAAATATTGACAATTTTTTGTTTGTTTATTTATTTTTTGGTAAAACGAACAGAATCTCAGACTCTGCTGAATTTCCCCAGAATTTTTTATTCAGTCTACCTTTAAAGTCCATCCTTAAAGGATTTTTATTAGTGCTCAAGACTGTTGAACAATTCAGATTTAAATAAATAAAACTTACCACTTGGAGAATGTCTTCATCTTTTGGCATAACACTAAGTTCTAATGTTGTATCGCTGAAATTGAATATATATAAAAATTATTTTAGGGGAGGAGCAAGTATATAAAAAAGACATAAAAAAATAGCTCAAAACTATTTGCTAAATTTGCTTATGAGTTTGATTTTGATTTTTATCTTTACTTTTCAAACCCAAATCATTAGAAAAAGAAGTCACTTTTATACATATAAGCTAATTATGAACAAAAGAGGGCATATGTTAGAGCTATTCATAACCAGGTAAATCTTCTTTATAACGAGTTTCTAATTTAGGAACATGAAGTATATTACTTATGTTAAATATTCCTGGAACAGAACTCTTCAGCATATATTTATTTATTATTTTAATTCAAGTCACAAAAAGAATTCTAATTTTTTACCACATATTTTCACTATCAAGTTAAAAATACATTCACATGAAAATAACCAAAGAAACCTCAAACTTAACATTTTAAGTAATATTAAACATCTTAATTGTGAAATATTCCCTCTTGGCCTCAGGAGTGAAGGAAATCAGAGTTCACCATCATAACTATCAAAACGACTCATTTTTAAAAACTCACATAGTGTCTCAACTATTTGCTTTCTTCTTTGACTTAACTTTAGAGCCTTTACAGAAACAACTCAAAGTCTCACTTTATTTTGGTACTATAACTATCCTGCTAATAATGACAGAGAAATTTCTCTAGGTTCAAAAAAGTACAAAGGGGTGTATACTGAGTCCTATGGTCTAGAATTACATTTAGGAAAGGCACGGATGGTGGGCTAGCCCCATCAAGTGATTTAGTATCTAACCTAACAATATCAGACAGATTTTTTCTTCTCTGAATACAATCAAGAGATTAAGAAACAATCAAACAACAAAAAAAAGAAAACAAAACCTAATACTTTACTGGTGTCACATTTTGTTCGATTTGAACCCTTATTATCAGGTTCATAAATGCTGAGCACAGTATAAACTGTAAGAACCACAGGTTCAAATAAATTTTATTGATAAAATATGTAGGTACTTGTATTTTAAGATTTAGAGCTGGTAGAAAATACATACTGATGTTTAGATAAATTCTTCTGCAAGGATACATTTTTACATTAATACACTGCAGAATCTCAATGGCTTTGTGCTGCATTATCCATTTGCTACCAACTGCAGACAAAAGGAACACAATTTTTTAAAAGAAAATAAGATAATGAAAAAACAGTTTTTCTCTATTTTTCAAATTGCTTTATTGGCTGAAAACTCAAGACTGTCATTCCAAAGTGTTATTATTCTGAGAGATGAATTGCACCAGTAACAAAAACAAAAACAAAAAAAAAACTTCATGTGGATTTTGAGGGACAAAGATTAAGTTATGGTTACTTAGAAAAATACTATTTTTAAAGAAGAGATGTTAACAAATACACAAAAAATTCTTAAACTACAAATTGATAAAACATAGTGGTGTACTTATGATGATCTAAATTATTTTAAGGGAATAAAAATTTGGGTGATCTCCCCACTGCCTCTAGACTGGGTTTAAATTTTTCGCCAGCCCCCTGTTCTCTCCAATACTTAAGATCAAATAGGGGTCACTGTCAAGAACACCTAGAATCCAACACTAGAGGCAAGATTTAAGACTTGCTTCCTCTAAGAAGTTCATTAAATATTAAAACAGTAAAAAGAATACTCAGAGAGCAATAAATCGCAATCACATTTTTTAAGCGTAAAAATGACAATGTATTAGGGCATTAGTGTAAATAACTTAGATTATATCATGACCTGCTTTAGACATGGTTAGAAGATTTTGATAAAAGTCTTCAGAAAATAGTGAACTTCAATTTAATTACAGTAGGGATGATCTGGACAATGGGACCCAGTCATGGTCAGTAGTATTTGACAGGAATTCAATATGGTAACCACTTTGGCTTTCAATGTATTTATTTATAATTAAGAAAATTCTTCTTTGTGTGTGGTAGACAGGAAGAGGATAGGGCTAAGTTATCTTTGAGATCTCACCGTCTCTCTATACATATTTATTTGCCTTTAGAATTCCAAATTCTATCATTCTGGTAGAACGTAGACAGCAGATAGATTCAAAGAGAATTTCTTGCTGTCTTTATTAAAACAAATGAATAAATTGTCACTAAGAATGTTATTCAATAAGTATATAAAGATATCTAAGAGGTTTTAAAATAAATTATATTGGCTTTTATCTACATTTTTATTATAAACAAATTATAAATGCAATTGTCGTTGCAAGTAAAAGTGGGGAACTTACATTAAATCCAGCATGTGTTCCTTTTAGATTCTAAAGGACTTTAATCATAAATCTGATAGACTCGCTAAAGCAAAGCCCCCAAGTTAAGCTACCATTAGGCAGTTCATCCTTGGCAATTCTCAAATGCGTCATCCACTTTGAGGGAAAGTCCTGCATCTGCACATCCCATTGTAGGATATAGACAATAATGTATTAAATCTACTTGCTCCACTGATTTATAAACACCCATCTTTGGCCAAAACTAATCATATATATTTCAAGAATCTTACCTGTTTTGAATTAAAGCAATTACTTGGGAATAGGTCTTTCCAATAACACTTTCTCCATTGACTTTTATAATTCGATCACCTGCCAAGGGGAATGAAAAAATACATGAAGAATTACTTAAAAAGTCATTTCTGAACACTTCTGAAATATTTGTTTAAAAAAAATTTTTTTTTAATGTTTATTCACTTTTAGGAGACAGAGAGTGAGCAAGAGAGGGGCAGAGAGAGAAGGAGACACAGAATCTGAAGCAGGTTCCAGGTTCTGAGCTGTCAGCACAGAGCACGACTCAGGGCTCGAACTCACTGACTGTGAGATCATGACCTGAGCCGAAGTTGGATGCTTAACTGAGAGCCACCCAGGTGCCCCAGCTTTTGAAATATTTAAGTAATGTACTTAGTTTTACTATATTCTTGCTCATTATCTTTTAAAGTATCTTTCACAAAAATGAATCTAAATTTTAAAACATATAGCTTCTGATGAAATAGAGCTAGGTCTTAAGAGCCCCAGTCAATGATTAGTTTAGAAACCCCAAAAGGTATAGGCACCAAGTGGCTCCAGCTATACTGTTTCTAACCCCTATCACTTGTTTTCCAAGTTGAGAACTACAGTTATTCCTGTGTTAACCCAGTCACCTCTGAGAGAGAAGCATTGTTCAGTGGGCTTAGACAGTTGTTTTTATTACCTTGGTGTCATCTACTTTCAGTCTGACTGATTTTCTCATAGTATCCTACCAACACATTTAGTTTTTTGATGAGTGCTATATTACGGAACTTGAATATGGGTATTCACATGTTTTGGCTTTCTGTATATTAACTTGTTCTTTGTTTTAATAAAGAAAAGGACAGGGGAGCATGGGTGGCTCAGTTCATGATCTAATGGTTCATGGGTTCGAGCCCCACATCAGGCTCTGTGCTGACAGCTAGTTCAGAGCCTGGAGCCTGTTTCAGATTCTGTGTCTCCCTCCCTCTCTGACCCTTCCCTGCTCACACTGTCTCTCTCTCTCTCTCAGAAATAAATAAAACATTTAAAAAAAAAATAGTAATAACCGATGTGAAGACATAGGAAGAACATACAGGAGGCAAAGAAAAATGTGGAAAATGAAATATGGAAGGAAGACAAAGTAAAAAAGAAATTACAAGGTATTATTTAAAGAAGAATATTAGCACCTGTGCATAATCCAGCTTCAAAAGCAGGTCCCCCTTCTTTAACCTGTTTAACAAATATGGTGTCCATAGGTTCCAGGCGGTTTCTTGGTTTTCCTGTGGGAAAGAAAAAGCCCAAGGCATGGTTTGTCTCACAATATTTTATTAAAATACTAATATAGAAAATGAATTTTAAGCAATGAAGCAAAGATTTTTAGTGAAGTGTGAAACACATATCCTGAATGTGGATGCTAAAATCATAATTTAGGAGTTTTCATTCATTCAAACATTTATTTTGCTTCTTCTAGAACACAACCTCCACCACCACAATAGTAATGGTTTCCACTTAGTGAGTAATTCTGTATGTAAACTACTATGCTAAGGACTATACATACCCTGAGAGCTAATTTCCATAGCACGTTAAGTGTTGCTACCACTACTGCATAAAAGAGGAAACTGAGGCGGGGATAGATTAAATCCTCCCAGGTCACACAGCTAGGTTACACAGGCAGTACTCACTCTACTGCTCTTTAACACTGCATTGTGCTAAGCATTAAGTTATAATGACGACTAAGACTCAGTCTTTTCCCTTCAGGGACTCTGGTGGGAAAGAGACATACAAGCAAAAATCACACTGTAGTATAAAAAACAATATTAAACAAATAAAACATACAATCAGGACAATGACAAACGCATGATCAACTCTGTAAGTCAATATTTCACAAACTGCTATCGATGGACGGATCACGTGCATCAACACTGAAGGTGCCTGCTAAAACTCAATGTTTCGGGGTCCAATCAGAAATCTGCTTTGTCAACAAGTTTTCCAGGTGATTCTTGTACACATTAACATTTGAGAATAACTTACAGTTTAAATAAACCAGAAGTCAAGGAAAGATTCCCAGATGAGAGGGCATTTAAGCTAAGTGATAAGCACCAAGACAAGGACTGTGGTGGGAGGTAAGGCGAAGAGGTAGCCAGTGGTTGTCAAAGTGTGGTCCCCAGACCAGCAGCATTGATATAACCTGGGAATGTGTTACAAATGCAAATCTGGACCTACTGAATCAGAAACTCTTCAGATGATTGTGCTGCACACTAATGCTTGGGAACCACTGAAGTGAAAGATACCGCGCTGACTCTTAAAGAAAATTAAGCATATATATACTATCTGTATATCCATACATATATATAGGGTAGTAATGGAGTAATATAGCAGTAATGGAGTACTATAGTAGTACATACTAAATTGCAATGCTAGGCAGAAGATGAGTGTCAAATATTAAGAGTTTACATTTCTTGCCATATAAAACTAAATTCCCATAATGGTGTATCATAAAGGTGACTCAAAAAATTCTTAATAAAGGAATATATATCAGCAGATCCCTTATTTAATTATTTGCTTTAAAAGAAGTCCTCTGAAGTAGTGAATGGCTAACTCAATCACTTATAATGCAACACAGTAGGGTGGAAATTGCTTGTTTTTAGAAGCCAGTAGATATGGATCTAAATCCTTGCTTTGCCACGTGATAGTCTAGTTGCAATTGAGTAAACATTTCTACTTAAACAGATTATTACTTTTTCTTCTATAATAGAGATAATTATTTTATATTTTTACATTCTTGAAGAGTTTCCACAAAGACTAAATGAGATAATGTGTGAAAATATTCAGTATAGCACATAACTGGAGTAACTCCTCGGTGATTGTACATTTCCACTCTTCATAGCACTTAAATGAAAACTAGTGCTGTATTTTTACGCCTTTAAGAATTAAAAACTTGATTGGCACCTGGGTGGCTCAGTCAGTTAAGCGTCCAACTGGGGCTCAGGTCATGATCTCATGATTCATGGGTTCAGGACCCACACTGGGCTCTGTGCTGACAGCCAGCTCAGAGCCTGGAGCCTGTTTCAGATTCTGTGTCTCCCTCTCTCTCTGACCCGCCCCTGCTCACACTGTCTCTCTCTCTCTCAGAAATAAATAAAACGTTAAAAAAATTTTTAAGAAAGAATTAAAAACTTCAAAGGTAATAAAATCACATTTGCAGAGTATCTATTATCCAATTTAAAAAATTATAAATATACAGTATATCATATATCTTCCCCAAGAAACTTTATACAGCCTTCTATGTTCAGATGACATGAAAATATTATGAATCCTTTTGTCATTTCTGATGACTGCTTTCTTCATGAGGCTTTGGAGGAAAAAAAGAACCAATATTAGTTCAATCCCTACAATAAAGAAGAATGTCCTAATTCTTAAGAGATGTTTCCTAAAGTAGTTAGGGACTAACTGTTACGATTATATGGTTATATTTCTATAATTATATCGGCAACTTAGTTTTCAAATGGGCTGGGAGAAAAAAATAATCCAAGATACCCACACCCTCAGACACACAAGTGGACAGGCAGATAAAGCAAATATAGCAACATGTTAATTGTTGAAACAAGATGGACAAGGTTTAGGCTGTATGTTCAAAGTTTTAATAAAAAGCCAGGAGAAACTTCCTGTATGTGCCAGGCTTTATTTTTCTTCACAGAACTTATCACTCACTACTTAATATTACATTTTTTTATTTGCTTGCCTTTTGGTTATTTGTCCTTCCCACTAAAATGAAGAGTAGGGATTTTTGTCATGTTCTCTGATCCCCACAGTACCTAAAACAATGCCTAGCACAGAACAGGCATTCAATAAATAGTTTTCAATGAATGAATAAATGTATTATTTAGTTTGATTGTCATAACAAGCTTGTGAGATGGGCATTATGATCTTAATATTGCCATTCTACCTAGGAGGAAACAGACTAAATAACTTACAAAGAAGCCAAGTAGGGGTTTAAACCCAGGTCTGAATCCAAACATGGTGTTCCCTGTTGTTTCAAAAGTAACTGAATTATGGGGCGCCTGGGTGGCTCAATTGGCTAAGCATCCGACTTCAGCTCAGCTCATGATCTCACGGTCTGTGAGTTCAAGCCCTGCGTCGGGCTATGTTCTGACAGCTAGCTCAGAGCCTGGAGCCTGCTTTGGATTCTGTGTCTCCCTCTGTCTCCGACCCTCCCATGCTCACACTGTCTCTCTCAAAAATAAATAAAACATTAAAAAAAAAAAGTAATTGAATTATTTATTTATTTGTCAAGCCTTAGTGAATACAAGTAGATAGTCAACTTATAATGACTTCGAATAGAAAAAAAAAGTTTCTTTTCAATATCAGTCACTTAAAATGCAATTACTTAATTTCAATCAAGTTGGTGATTAGTCTAGGTCTCTCTGTAGCTGACTCAACATTAACAAGAGTTGGCATCGAAAAGAAACTATCTATTTTTTCTTAGGTAGAGATTAGAGGGTTTTAATAAGTTTTATTGAGTCAAATCATTGCTTTCATGGAAAGATTTATATAATAAAAGAGAAGAAACAATTTTCTTATTAATGTCTTCTGGTCCACTCTGTCCAAAAGGTGACTATAACATACTTATTTATGTTTAAAAATACAAAATGTAAATGACATTAATAAAGTCTATACAAAAATTAAAAGTGAGATGGGTAGCAATGAGGTAAATCCTGAAAATTCTGATAGAAAATGTCACCTATCTAGAATAAATGTAGTCCAAAATATTTTTTTAATTTTTATAAAACAAATACTAATTTTGTAGTGATTGTCATTATAGAATTAGAGACACTCTGCCATCGACAAATCTTTCAATACACTGTGCCTGAAAACGTGAAAGTGGAGAAGATTAAAATAGGGGCCAACATTACAGCAAAAACAATTACATCTGCTGAGAATTACACTTTTGATTCTTGTTGTCGCTTTCCTTTCTGAATTTTCTCTAAAATCTGACTTGCTCTTACTACCTAGATATTATCCAGTTCCTTCTGGACAACACAAAATTGATATCCCTTAACTACAGGCAGATTTCACTAAAAAATATACTTCTTTTCAAACTCCATGTTCCTTGACTCTAAGTCTTCAATTAAACATTTGGCTCATTAATTTTAAGAGTGTCTTCTTTTTATCAGTCAGAGAGAAAAAGACAAATACCATACGGTCCCATTTCTATGGGGAATCTGAAAAACAAAACAAACAAAAAACCAAAACAGACTCAAATTCAGAGAACAAACTGGTGGTTGCCAAAAGGGAGAGAGATCGGGGCATAGGTGAAATGGGTGAAGAGGATTAAGAGGTAGAAACTTCCAGTTATAAAATACACAGTAAGTCATGGGGATGAAAAGTACAGCATAGATAATATGGTCAATAATATTGTAATAACGTTGCGTGGTAATAGATGGAACCAACATTGTGGCAAGCATTTCATAATGTATATAAATGTCAAATCACTATATTGTACACCTGAAACTAATATGATATTCTGGTCAGCTCTACTTCAATTAAAAATTTTAAAAAATTTTTTAAAAGAAAAAATAATTTGAGGCGCCTGGGTGGCTCAGTCGGTTAAGTGTCCGACTTCGGCTCAGGTCATGATCTCACAGTTCGTGGGTTCGAGTCCTGCGTTGGACTCTGTGCTGACAGCTAGCTCAGAGCTTGGAGGCTGTCTTCGGATTCTGTATCTCCCTCTCTCTCTCTGACCCTGCCCTGCTCACTCTGTCTCTCTCTGTCTCTCAAAAAATAAATGAGGGGCACCTAAGTGGCTCAGTTGGTTAAGTGCCCGACTTCGGCTCAGGTCATGATCTCACAGTTTGTGGGTTCGAGCCCCACTTCGGGCTCTGTGCTGACAGCTCAGAGCCTGGATCCTGTTTCAGATTCTGTGCCTCCCTCTCTCTCTGACCCTCCCCTGCTCACGCTGTCTCTCTCTCTCTCTCTCTCAGAAATAAATAAAACATTAAAAAAATTAAAAAAACATTTTAATATTTTTTAAAAAGAAAAAGAAAAGAAAAAATAATTTTAAAAAGCATCTTCTCTTTAATATATTCTACTGGAAATAAAAAATATCAAATTTAAAATGCTTGTTTATTCAGTCTTTTGTGTCCCTGTTTTTTGTTTTTCGTTTTTTTGTTTTGTTTTTTAAGTATGCTCCCTGGCCAACGTGAAGCTTGTACTTACAACCCTAGATCAAGAGTCACGTGCTCTATTGACTGAGCCAGCCAGGCCATTTGTGCCTTTAGTT